TTTGAGTTGTGTTTGTGTTGAAATGTGCGTTGAGAACTTGGAGGCATTTTATAATTTATAGAGGAGGATTTTGGGTGATGACGTGTCGCGGGCTAGACGCGGCGGGATTTAATGCTGAGACACCGACATGGTGGGGCCCGTGGCGTATGGTTTGTAACCGTTTGATTTGGAGATGGTTTTACGTTTTGTATGTTTTTTAGCCGTTGGATTTGGGGAGCGGAGAAAATAAGGAATGGCTGGTTTACCTTCCAGCATTGCATATATATAATGTGATAAAGGTAGGTAATGGCAAAACCTGAGGGGGAGGTTTATAGTTTCCAAAACCTGTGGGGAGTAGCAAGATGTTATGAAACCTAGGGGAGGTCTCGGAGATTTATAAAGAATAAAAAAAATTAACTTATTAATGGAATAAATATTTAGATTTCTCCATGAAATTCTTAGATTTCTTTACCTTATTGATGGTTTTACTATATTAACTTCCATATAAGTTAAGCAAGTCATAAATCTCTTTCCATTCATAAAAAAAACATTTATAATCTTGTTATACACTATTAATTAAAAACAAGGGTTTATAACAAAAATCCCCCTTAAATTTAAGTAAATTACAAAAAATTCTCTAAAAATCCCCTTGCCATCAAGTTTTTGGTGTTAAAATAAACTATAATGAGATAATTTCGTAAAGATTTATTAATTTATTATGCTATAAAGTCTAACAGTGAAGAGATTTATATTATTTCTGAAATATTAGGGGAGCTTTTATTATTTGGTTAAATTTTAGGGTAGAGAAACCCCTAACCCCTAAGAACACGAAGTCCCTCATATTTGTTGAAAATAAACTTAATTCCCATATTTCTTAAAAGATAGTTCTCCAGAAAATACTTATTAAGTTTTTCTCAAAAACCTTTTTTTTCCCACTGCCTTACATTGATTCAACAATATAATACTCATCCAAGTATTGATAATTGGTGCATATAGTTTAATCTCTTGTACATCCACTCACAACTCACACACTTAGATTTTTGAGATGGGAATCATATTTTTCTCCCAATAAAGATTAACCCATAACTCAATCTTATAAATTTTCTCTCACAACCTCGACGTAATAACTCGTAATTGGGTAAGCGAGACTCATTGCGAGTTGACCAATTATTAACTTCATATCAGAGTTTGCGAGATTGAGTTATAAGCATAATCCTTTTTATCCCGCTTTCTTTTTCTCTTACTCTTTGACCTCTCTCTTACACTCCATCACCCTTGGAACACTTTGACTGGCCGTAGGAGGATGATTTTCTGACTGTAATTTATGTCCATCCTTCCGAGGATCTAGACATGGTTAGTGTTTATGAGCTGTATTCACCAAGAGAGATTTTATTTATTTATTTATTTTGGACATGTACAAATTTCTCAAATTTCTTTTGTCTCCACCAAAATATAAACTACCGAGTAACCTTACAACATCGATGGTGAACATTAAAGAAACTATAAAAGACACTCATGAAGGGAGGAGAACAAACCAAAGTGTCCATTATATATGCCTTTTCAAAGTTTGAACAAGCCAAGCAAACTGAAAATTTTAAATATATCTAAACCAGCAAACCAACAACATCACACTACATGCATTCGCTCAGCTCAATAAACAACAATACACATAACAAGTTTTTCTCTCTATTTCCTACATTTTATACATAACAAGTTTTTCTCCCTATTTCCTACATTTTATAATTATCCCACCACAAAATGTAGGAAANTTTTCTTTTCTTTTCTTTCTCCTTTCTCTCCTCTCTTCTTTCTTTCTTCTCCTCTCGTTTTCTTCTTCTTCCTTTGGGCGAACTGCCCAGTTCCCTTCTCCTTTTAAACAAACACTTTTCTAAAATTTATTTCTGCCCCCCAATTCCTCTAAATTTCAGTTTAACCCAGCCACATAAGCTTTCCTTAGCAAAAATGTCCAAATTTTTCCCTCTTGATACATGCAAACCCATCAGGATTTATTTCTTCTATTTCACCCCCTTAACACAGCTTTAAAAACTGACAGAAATACCCCTATCTTACCACAATACCAAAAAAAATCAAATAAATAAAAATAAAATAAAATAAAAAATTAATTAACTTAAATACAATTCATGATCTAACTAAAATCAGGAATGGGGTTTTACACCTCCGGCCATACTGTCAGTAATCCCGAACTCAGCTCTCAGTTTTTGTTAATTTCTTTTAAGTATTTCTTTGTTCGCTCGGAACAGTTCGCATGTGTTCTGTTCGCATGTAAGAATTTGTATGCAATTGCTTATGTAAGTCACAATTGTAAATTGTACGTATATATGAAAAAGCGAACTACAATTGTAAAGAAAATGTCTCCATTTATGTACAAACAAAAAGTCAAAAGACCCGATTACAATGGGGACAACTCATTACACTAAGGCTGGTCGGGGGGATCCTTCGAGCCAGAACCCCCTGCCTGGTCGGGTCCTTGAACGGCCACGGCAGTCTGGTCGTCCTCCTCGGCCATGATCCGCAAGGTCGCCTGCCAACCCTCCGGGAGGTCGGACAAGTCCAAATCTGGGTTCTTTACTCGCAGGGTATAGATAGACCCGATTGCCCAGTCCGCGGCCTTTTCCTCCAGCTCCTCTGACTGGTTCCGCATTTCTTCAGTCAGAGAAGCGATTCTCTCCCGACTCTCCTGGAGCTCGGCCTCAAGAGCTCGCCTTTCCTGTTCGGAGGCCTCCCTATCTTGTTCAGCTTGCTGAGCCCGTGCGAAGGTCGCCTGGATCTCCTGGTCCCTCTCTCCGACCTCCTTGGAGAGCCTGGCGGTTGTCCTTTGAAGTTCCTTAACTTCCTCTGCACGTCGATCGAGCTCCGTCTTTTGGAAGTCCACTGTTCGTAAAGCAGCGTCCTTTTGGTTCAGATACCTGTTCAACGCTTCAAAAGCATGTGTTCTTTCCGCTTCGACGGACTCCAAGCTCTGCTTCAGCTTCGCGACCTCTTCCTTCAGGTCGCTTGTCCCCTTTGCGGCCCCCAGCCGCGTCTTTTCCATGGACATCCTCATCGCAAGCAACGCCTGCAAGCAAGATATGAGTTAGAAATAAATCAGAATGAAGTTTCAAATACAGCGCGTTTACCTTGCTCAGATGTTGGAACGACGTGGTCATTAGGTCGTCGCCCGTATCAGCGAACTCGTCGTATGACTCCGATAGCTCGCACTCGAGCAGGCCATAAACTATCGGCTGCAGGTATTCGGGCAGACTCCCCAATGAGTCTAGCACTGGTACGTCCTTCGCCTTGCCGGCAGCGACCGCCTCGCTCACAAGCTCCTTGCCCGACCTCCTAGATTCCTGGCGCAACCTCAGAGGCTCTTCCTCAGATTCAGTCTCCGACTCTTCGGCCTGAATCTGCTTCCTCTTCTTCGACCTCTAGGCCAGAGCCTTCCGCTTCGGGCTAGCAGATGGTGCCTGAGCGACCTGTTCTGTCCTGGTCGCTTCTTGCACAGGATGGGGCTGAGGCACGACTGTTCGCACCGGTTGTGCCGGAATAGGACGAGCAGCTTCGGCCGCCCGCTCTCTCCTCGATCGAGGGAAGACGAATGGTGCTCGGCGAGGCTGCTCGGACTCCTTTGGGGGCATAGTTTCTGCATTTAAGTTCGTTAGTAAACGAAATTGTTCCGCGACCAGAAGGGAACCAGTATGACTTACCTTCTGGGGGTTCTAAAGACGCGTTGTCGCTGAAAAAACCGTACTTCCGCAAGTTCGCGATCGTCACAAGCTTCCTCGCGTCCCGGCTCTCCTCGTCCAGTACTCCAAAAGATACGAGCCTATCTGGGTCGGCGAGTAGGGTTTGGCTGGTCGTTCTGTTAACTGCAAAAGGAAAAAGCATGTCGTTATTACAAATCATGCGAGCAGATAATGAACCCAGCGAAGAAAAACCTACTTGGTTCCTGAAAGCGGCAGTAGCCGTCATAACAGAAGAAGAAAAACTTTGTCTCGTAGGCCCCCGCATTGCTGGGATAGCTATGTATCCCCGCGGTAATGGTAGGTCACCGAGACAAATAGTACGAGTACTTGTCCCTACTCTTCTTAAGGTAGTAGGCGACGCCGAGCTCCACCGCCGTTGGCTCGCCCAAGCCGCTCTCGCAGCACGCGATGTACATTGCGACAGCGATGACATACACGTTTGGCGTCAGCTGCATCGGTGCGATCCCGAAATGATCCAGGACCGACCTGATGAAGGGATGGAGGGGAATCCTCCCTCCACCCTTGAAGATCTCTTCAGAGATCGCAGCAAGGCCATCAGAGGGGCGCCGTGACGACCTGGTATGGTCGAGGAACACCTCCGCGCGGATGTTAAACTGCTGTTTAATCCTATCGAATTCCTCTGAGGTGAGGACCGAGAAGACATCAAGGGAGGCGTCCTCGGGAACTTCTCGCGAGGACGAGCTGGTTCCTTCCTCGGGTCTGGATGTTGACGGTTCCATTCCAGTCTGCAACATCGACAGACAGGTCATTTTAGCCATCGCATGTCCTGCGCGGCGGCGTGGGACAAATCCCTTAAACCCTAACAGTAACTCGAGCCACCGTCCACGGCTCGAATCCAATGACGGCGTCACGTCTCTGGTGAAACATCGGGAGACCCAACGCCATCGCCAACCAAGCAAATGCAAAAACAAAAAGAAAGAAAGGAAAATCTTACCTTCTGGGATGAGTAACCGAGACCGAAACTCGTTCCAGTTGCTTGATAAGCGCCGATCGGAGAAGAAAGATCTCTGGTTTGCGAAGGTTTGTCACTCGTAGCAAAAGAAATTTCGGTGGCGTCATCTGAAAAATGTGAGATTTTATATGGATCGCGAATCGACGGTTAGCACCCCACAGAACCGAAACGACAGCCCACTCTCTCTCCCTGCATTAAATGCGCCCCACGTCGCATTAAATGCCGTGATAAGAGTCGTCGTTTCGAATGCGTTACACAACTAATGCTGTCAAAACGGCGTCGGGTCAGCACACAACGCATTTAATGTGCCTGACAACCGCTTTAGCGCGTGCAGAGCGCCTGAGCGCAGAACCAGGTTCATTGAATCTCTAACCCTAAGGTACAGAAATGAGCGTCCAACAAATCCAGGTCGCCAGGATGAAGATTGTCAGGTCGCTTAGGCAAGGAATCGCGCGAGATCGTGTTCGCCAAGAGTCTTGTGCCGAGCTCATCCCATTCAGGTCGGAGCGACCAGAACCTCCAATGTGACTTAGTTTCCAAGGTTCGATCCTCAAACCTTAAAAACTAGGGGGCTTCTGTTATACCTGGGAAAATAAGGGCTGACGTGGGAAAGTCACATGAAGAGTGACCTGCTCCCGTCAGAGCAACAAGCGCACGTCAGACCCGCCAAACGATATGGAGCTCACACGTGTCCCTTTCCCCTGCAATAAATCGTGCGAAATCAGCTTGGGAAGAGNAGGAAGGAAAAAACAAAGAAAAAACGGAAAAAGAGGGAGAGAGAGAGAGAGAGAAATCATGAAGATGAAGGGTGGAAATTGTCTTTGTATGACCTCTTTGTTTTTGTCTTTGTAAGAGTAGTATTGCTCTAAAATTATATATAGTATTTTTGAAACTTATAATAATATCTATAAATGAATATTTATAAAAAAAAAAAAACTGACAAAAACGATTTTTGAATTATGTACCCATCACTTCACACCCACTAAATATTACTTTTTCTGTTTGGCGTGATCATTTCGGTAGTTAAAATTCAATGGTCATTTGGACCCTGGGATGATGTTCGGAAAGTGACATGGTATCTGATGATGTGACAATTAAGATGACATATATCACGTAGGATATCACAACAACGTTATTTCGAAATAAATAAGTAAATTATCACGTAATACTAATCATTCATCATTTTTATACAATATTTTTTTTATATCATTTACAGCATTATATGACAAAATATAAATAACTAATTTAAAACTAAAATTAAACTTTCACCTAATCATATCTTTTCACATAATATTATATAAAAAATATTATATGAAAATAATATATGTGTAGTATTATTCAATATTATCTTTACACCAATTTTTTATACTGCTATCTTTACACCTGTTTTTTATACCATTCTCTTACTTTATCACCATTTTGTTAATAATAATTTTATTATAATATTAAAAATTGATCATAATTAAAAATTTATTTGATGCGACATATACCACATCGTGATACGATAAAAATGTTCTAAATGTAGCATTACCCAAACTAAATTAAGTCAATTAATCTTATTTTTTTATATCACTGTCACGTCAACTTACAAAAAGACCCCAATAGAATTATAAAATACCCCATAAAATATGGGGTATTACAATAGGGTTATTTTAAAATTTTATTTATTGGAGGGAGTGAGAGAGATTAGGGTTTACTATTTTTTGGATAAAAAAACCTAAATACCCTTTATTAGTTAAATTTAACGTTTGAAATTTAAAATTGGATGAGAATTTGCACTTTATGAAACCATAGGTGGGAATGTAGATCCACCAAACCTTGGGTGGGTAAAAGTCTTTTTNACAAAAAATTATGAAAATAAGAAAAAAATAAAAAATTATAATAATATCTGTCAGTTAAATATTTATAAAACTAAAAAATAATATTTTATTAAAATTGTATTTATTTTATGATATTATATACAAATATAATTTTTTTAAAAATAAGAAAACAAATAAAAAGTTAAAAAAAAAACTGACATAAACGAGTTTTGTACTATGTACCCATCACTTCACACCCACTTCATGTACTGTATATTAAAGTAATTACTCTCTCTTCCAGGAACATCCATGAGTTTTATTAAGAGAAATATGGCCCAACTTACACATACATAAGGTTTGTCGAAACGATAGTCGGTATTCAGAAGATTCTGAAATGATAAATAGGTATCTTTTGTTATGTTTTGTTAGTGATTTTCGTTTGATAATAGTGAAAAGACTAGAATACCCTTGAAAGTTTGATATTATAGTTTTTTATAAATTTAAAATTTTTTAAAAAACCCCCTAGGTTTGCTAATTTAACTAAATATCCTAATATATAAAATTTTTAAAAAATAACAAAAACATCCCATTGGATCTGTGTTAGAATATTGCGTTACGATACAAACCCGTCGGATCTGTGTCGTAGGACGTCGATCTGGCATTTTCCAAGGCATCTCCACTCCTGCGTTATTTTGGTGTAAATTTCAACCCCAATCTAGTGCTTGCTACACCAATTTGGTGCCCTGTTACAGTGCTCTGTCAAATGCACACCAATTTGGCGTGGCACTGTAGTGGAAGCAAAATTTTTTTAATTTAAATTTTATCATTTAAATTTAAATTAATTTGATTATTATTTATATTAATATTTATAATAATAAATTCATAATAATTATATAATTCAAAAAGTGATAAAAAATTAAAAACAAAACTTTATTCAATACAAATATTAAACTACAATAACTCAAAATAAAAATTAACACTAATTTAAAAACATTAAAATTAAAAGAAAATACAACATAAACTAAAATAACAATTTAGTATTTCGGTATATTAGTTCTGGATCCTCTAAGATGGAAGCGCCAACTCCCAAAGTTGAAATTATCATAGATGAAAATATCCGATTTCAAAATTTTCTTGCTTGACATAGACAAATTAAGAATACAGAAGTTCACCATGCTCTTTGAAATGCATTAATTGATCATTTGTAAGAAGAATATACTAATTCGGAAAATTAAATTACTATTAATATAGAATTTTACTTTTGTGTTGTTGTTTTCTTTTTTTTTTAATATCATTTTATATTAGATGTAATGTTTTTCTATATTAAATGTAATGTTTATTTGATTAAATAAATGCTTAATTTTATTAAATTAGTATAATTTTCAAAGTAATTATTATTTAATGAAAATATCATTCCCAATATTTAATTAATATATACAAAAAAATAAATGNTTTGCAGTGACTAAACTTGACTGCTGCTTAGATGCCTCGCGACGGCAAACTTAGTCACCACTTTAGGACTTTATGACAGCTAGATTTCGTAGGAGGAGAAGAAAGAAGTGGGAGAAATGAATAGGAGGAGAAAAAAGATAATAATAATAAAGGAAGAAAAAGAAAAAAGATAGAACATGGGGAGGGACAAGAAAAAGAACAATAAAAGAGAGAAAATAATTATTAATATTTATTTTATTTTTTATACTTAAAAAGGTTAAAAAGTCAATATTGCCTTCCTTAAGAAAATGGAAATGTCTATAATACTATACTTTAATTGATCAAATTAATGAGAAAAGAGTTAAGTTCCTACTTCCAAATCAACCCGCGCTCCCTACAATTTGGTGGAACTTTTCAGAATTACCCAGAAGATAAATTTTTTTCTTGTCAAAACCTCCATTATTAATTAAAACATCCATATATATATATATATAAACCGAAGAGAGAAGAAAGAAATCGAGAGGAACATATATAAGAAAGGGAAAGAAAACAAGAAAGAAAGAGAGAGGAGAGTCATTGAACTCAAAATCTCAACTGATACATATGCATAATCATCAAACCTCGGAAATATACATCTGATCACAAACGAAACAAAGCTCTGAAATGAAATAGATAAAAAGATACAAGATGGTCCTAATAAAATCCCCTTTACAATCACAATATTTACACAAATATTTCTCATGGATAAGACCGAAACAATCAGAAAATAGAGAAACCAAGAACTAGATAAGAGCATCACCAATGTGCTCTAACGGAAAGAGAAATACCAAACGAGGAAGTGCAATGGGTAACCCGCTTAAATCTCCTCAAGTTCAGTCACAACATCAGACATTTTTGGCCTGAAATCAGGAGTCTGATCAACGCACCTCATTGCCAGATCAAAGATTCCAATGAATTGCTTCATATCATAACTTGTTAACTTTTTATCCACCAACTCGGAGTAACTTCCTTTTTTATGTAACACAGCAGCCTACATTAACGCAACTATGTCACCCTTAAATGCATATTCATATTTGAAAATTCAATTGGTTGATGTTGACTAAAATGCTATTACCCACATGCAGTCCATATCCTAAATAAACATGTATGATATATGGTTAACTTTCGAGATAGCATAAATTTGTCGAAGCCTCTTACCCTTTGTAAAAGAGATTCTCTCTATTCCTTCCCTTCATGCTTTGAATTACTCTGCCCACTAATTATTTCAAGCAAAACAATCCCGTAACTGAAAACATCAGCTTTATCTGTTACGGATTCCTTCTTTAGCACCTCAGGTGCCATGTATCTGAAACAATAAAAAGTGATTATATAGTTCTGAACATCGGCACATACAAATTGTACAATCAGTTTTTATGTTCAATCCAAAACAAAATCAGTTTTTTTTTTTTTTTCACTGGATCTTTACAAAAATAAATAGATAAATAAAAGTTTTAAAATAATGACGTTATGTACTTAATGTGTTACTTACGTAACCGCTGCAGCTATTTTTTGGAGAAAATCATGCGGCTCATCCTCGTCATAAAGCATTGCTAGTCCTAAGTCAGATAACTTGGCGTTAAAATCTTCATCAAGAAGAACTTTACTGGCTTTTATATTTCTATGAATAATTTTGCCAGTTGCAAGTTCATGGAGATACTCCAGACCCTTTGCTATTCCACGGCAGATCCCAACTCTCCTCTCCCAATTAAGTTGCCCTTGAACATTTGGGTCAACTGCACAGCTTACAACATTTTTATTGTTAATTTTAGGTTCACATTTATCAATAAAAATGGCAATATATATATCCTTTGTCTTCGCAATGAAACACTTTTGAATCACAATAGGCATGCACCAGATCAATTAGTGGGGCGCGACGCTGGCAGACATGGTAAAAGCAGTGATATGTGTTGCAATGGTAATATAATTTTTAACAGATCAATTAAAACAGTAATACTTTATAATTTTTTTTTTTTGGATAACTAATGTGAAAAATTCAGGAAATTAGAACACTGAAATCGATTAGTATTTCAGAACCCCAGAAAGCACACACTGTAAAATATTTTGTAACCCAGTGTAAACGAAGAAAAAGTTGACCGGAACGTACATTGTTTGCTGAAATAATTAAAGAAAATGTAATAAAATTTATAAAGTTGCCCAGTCAAGCATATGATGCATAAAAGAAAGTTACCAAACAAGGCTTGTTGAAGCGAGCCGTTTGCCATATAATCGTAGATAATCAAGAAAATTTTCTATTTTTTGTTAGAACAGACAGCCAATAGCTCCACAAGATTGTCATGTTTCAACTTTTGGCCCGCATACACTTCATTTGTTATTTGATCAAACTTCTTTGTGTATAGAGGTAACTTCTTTACAGCAACAGGTTTCTCCTGATCCCGGAGTTTAGCCTGAAACCAAAACAAAAGACTTGAAATGCTTGTACATGAACTCAAATAATACAGATGCCATCTATTTATTATTTATAAATTACCCTGAAAGATTAATAATTCTCCTATCACAAAAAGTACTGAAGAAGTATAATTTACCATGTAAACCATCGGGCCAATCTCATTCTGAGGGCCGAAATTTCCAGTAGCAACAATCACTTCTTTGAGGGAATATTCTTTTTCTCGGATTTTCACAGTGGTATCTGTAGATATTTAGAGAAAATAAAAACAAAGGAATAACTAAATTTTGCACGTAAGTCTTCATCAGCTAAAATTCTTCAATGAGAGACCTATTTGGATTTATTGCGTATAGACTTACTGTTCAACTCTCTGTCTCCCACCCATCCCATTCTCCACATGAAAGCCCATAAAAGAAGCGAAGCTAATACAAGAGCGGATACAACAGCAATAACAATCACTACTATCCACTTTGTAGATAATACTCCAATTTTGAAGTCTGAATATATAGTGGTAGATAGCAACAAGAGCCGAACTGTCAGTAGAATAGAAAAAGGGAAATTTGAACAAACTAATGACAGAAGTGCAAATACACAATTTTTTTACCAGGGGTTACAGATATAGCTGATATCAGAGGTCCATTAAGAGCAGGTGGATTATACAGAGATCCTTTGCCAGCCCAGAATAAGCGGATTTCTAGTAGATTATGATCTACTTTATTACCTTTGAAAGATTTAGTACACCCCTTATTTGGACTTCCGGCCTCTTTTTTTATGTTGAAATCCTCCAATACTCTCGTATCCTGCAACAAAGAGTTCCTTAGCGGATGGCATTACTGAAATGGCATTTCCAGAAAAAACAAAAGCATTACCTGAATATACACATCAAACACACGCTTTCCCAGACTACTGTAGTCTTCATCTTTTGAAAATACAATTTCAGCGAAGTCAAGTTCCACAGTGTAATTGCCTTTTTGCAAGCAGAAACCATAATATGTCAGAGACTGAGGGCAAATGCGAGCTTTGTCATATAAAGTTGCCTCAGGAGAAGAAACTCCACATGTATTGTTCCTTATGTTATCACTGGAATTGGCTGTTGTTGATAAGAAATCTCCCGAACAAACATAAGCCCAACGCTTTGTTGGATCTACATAGAAAGAATTTGATGATATATTATCTGCATCATAATACTTTCCTCCAATGTTTGCACCCTCGCCACCAGCATTTATAAACAAGGAATGGTCTGCAAAAACAAAATTGTACGTATAAAATGCTTGTTGTAGTTCCAATTTTATCCTTTAAAAACAATGTAAAGTTCTATTTTTAATCTTTCAAAGCTGATTTGATTTTGATGGCGTTATATTAGAAGGTGGTTTTTGAACAATTTATAAAATTTTAGGGGTGGTTTGAATAATACTCTTAAACATCTAAAAATTTCTTTCAAAATGTAGGGGTGGTCTTACATTGAACCCTTATAAGACTTATCATCACTCCATAAAAGGGATAATTCATTAAACCTCCCAAGGTCTTCTTAAACATTGAAAAAAAAAAAAAAAAACCTCCATTACCAGTAATGACGCAAAACCCCTTACTGTCTGTCAGATGTTAACAAAATTCTGTTCTAGTTGTCAAAGGAGGGGTAAAATATTCATAACATATTTGAGGGAGTTTCCTATATTTGGGCATATCCCCTCAATAAAATAAAACCTAATTTCTTAAAATTCTATTTTTCCTGTTTTTAATATGATGATCTTAACCGGTGTTATTTCAAAAGCTATATGCCATCACAAAATCAAATTAATTCAACCTTCTTTATTGGAACTGAAGAAATTATAATCTACAATATTAATTCATGCTAGCTGGAGAAGGAACATACACTGGGAATTCTTGCCATGACAATGGTCATCTATGATTTGAGATGGGGAAGTCCTACAGAACACAAGTATATATATTGGTAAGAAAAATAATTTAGAGTTCTTCTAATTGCATAATATAAAAAGCGATGACCGTACGTATAATTTGAACTTAGCTCTCTGGTTGCAACAGCACATGAACAGACAAGTCATTGAAAATATGATTTGAAAAAACAGAACAAACAATCCAGAAGTTAAATTTGTAGCCCACAACAAAATGAATAAGGAGAAAGAGCAGTAAAAACAAGAGAGATATTCAATATCCTTACCTATTTATCTTTGGATCTCTGCAAGATAACAAATTAAAGAAACTTGGAATTATTTTCTTTATTTTTAATGAAATAAGCGAAATATTACAAACATTTTAAAGATATTGGATACACATGTATCTTTGAAACTTTCGTAAGTGAATTTTCAAATGCAAGAAGCATTTTTATGCAAGGAAGAGAAACAGGAAAAAAGAGAACGATTGATGTTATTTCCTTACACATTCTTTCCTTGTTCTTTAACTTCAAAATCGTTATATGAAAAATTCCTGCAAGATAATTATTCATAAGAAATGTGAAAATATCTCTTTATTGTATAGAGTTAAACATATAAAATTTCAAAAAAAATTTAAGAGTGTGTGAGTGAAGAATTTAAGAACAGTTGAAGAAACGAAGAAAATAGTTACATGATAGACATAATAATGAATTGATTTGGTGATTAGGAAAAAAATAAAAAAAAAAAATTACTAAATGATATTTACCAATAGAATCATATGCTTTATTTGGCTGTAGAAGAGAATGATGATTAAGACATGACTTGTCATTGTGTTTTAGTAGATTGCACCTTATGAGTTGTGCTCATGATGAGTTTTTTGCGATATTATCACATCATCACTCTTTTTATCAGTGGACTTAGTTTTTTTTTTGCCTTTAACTAAACCTTCACGTCTACTCATATGTTGGTATTCTAAAAAAATTTATTTACAATAAAATAAATCATTGAGTTATAAATAAATAAATGAAAGAAAAATACATTATTTACCGTGGACCATAATATTTCAAACATAGAGGATCTAGATATAGCAAAGTTTCTTATTTATATTGTGCTTAGAGTTTGATGTTGATGAATTATTCTTATATTTCTATTACTATAATCAAGACCAACTAATATATCTTAAATCCGTATCCCTTAATTAATTTATTTCAAGAATTTTTTAAAACGGAAAAGTTTCTTAAACTCCAATGTCAATTCATTCATCCATTTTATAAAAAACTTAATTCATTAAGAAGTCAGATTGTGCATAAAAAGCAATCTGTCTTAAGATAAATGATTTATTTTTTGGTTGCAAAATACTAATTAAATAATATAAGATGAAAAATGTAAAAGAAAAAAAAAAGCAAAGTCTGATAACACTATTTATTGCAGCAGACATGGAAAAAGACAAAGCAAAAGTAGTAAATGGAGTCTCGGGAATCTGCCTTGAGAGGGTTCTTGGTTACAAAATACTAATTAAATAGTATAAGATAGAAAATGTCAAAAAATATATATATATAAAAATTAGCAAAGTCTGGACAGTATTTATTGCAGCAGACATGGAAAAAATAAGCTTTAAAATAAAAGCTTTAAAATAAATCCTAAAAAAAAGCGTAATTAAAAAAATATGAAAGGGATAAAAAGTACTGTTTTATAATTTAAAAAACATTTACTCTTTATCGTAGTTAATTGTAAATATTTTATTTATTTTAATTATTTTATATAACTATTTAAATAAATATAAAATTTTTTATTTTTTTTATTTGACAAAAGACACTGTCACATAATTAATACAAAGAAGATAATGATGATGGTGATTTATGTTTGCAAATATATAATAATATGGTTTGATTATTAGCATTAATATAATGGTTGTTAATTAAAATACTTGTGATTTTTTAAATTGCATATGATATTTTTGGGAAGAAGATCATTAATCTATGGTCTTAAATTTGTCCAAGTGATAGCTATTTTTCCATTAATTATTAATATTTGTGGTAAAGTTTGAGTAGTGGACTGTGTAAATGAAAAATTGTTTTTATTTCATTTTTATTACCTATGGACGTTTAACTTTATTGGGAATACCTTTTCTTTTGTGCTATTTATATTTTTGCCTTGGGTGTTCACTGTAAGCAAGAAAAATAAATTATTTTTATTGTGAATTGGAATTGACAGAGTTTTTTAAGTAGAATATGCATCAAAAATAAATGTATAATAAATTAGGTTTACGAGGATTAGATGTTTGATTACTTACTCTAATATCAGATTGGGTTTAATCGTTTGTTGAGTCCTCACTTAGCCTAATTGAAATGAATGAATTGAGTCAACTTTTTATTTATCTGAGTTGTGATTTCAAGAAAAAAAAGTTAGTTAATAATAATCTCTGCATTTTTGCATTATCTTTACATGGTTTTGTGTGTTTCGTTTCTAATTTTTGAATTTGTTTTTATGATTTTGGCTTTTTGTGTGAGTTGCAACTGCGTGATTTGGTACCATACACTAACAACCACTTCATGTACAATACATTAATAGTATAAGTTTTTATTCTGAAACTTATGAGACTTTTTGTTTCTCTCACTAAACCTGTCAAGTAATTGCTTTAAACCAGACATGGGAACCAAAAATTCATTTTTGGGAGGGTTAAAAAATGTATATAAAAGAATGATCAATTATATTGCGGTAAGAAAATCACTGAAAACCAAACAAAGGACAAAAGCAACTACACCAGAAAAATGACAAAAGGCCCAGGGAGAAACAAATAAAACCTGCAATACAAATGGGACAGCCCACACCCTTTGTAGCCCAACGCCCCAACCCAACATAGCACACAGCTGCAGAAAGCTAAAATTTTACACTAACAATGCCCAAATCGGGGGCAGCTCTCCACAACAGCTCCAGTTTGGGAAAGCATTTCCAGACTGCCACAATAAAAGCTAATCGGCAGCCAAAAAAAAAAAAAAAAGAAACCCAGAAAGTCTGTACTCACTGTGGGACAACACTGGAGCAACAGTACACTCTCCAAATGGACATAAAGCCAAACAGTTTGCAGTCTATACAGTAGCCAGAATCTCCAGACAAAATGGGTGTTCTCCCACGGCCTCATCTCTGATGAAGGCTCCCAAGAGTTCCAAACTTAACCAATATGCGTACATATTTAATCAACGAGTTTCTTGTTGAATTCTTTTTAATTTTTTTTTTTAATTTTAAAAATGAGAGAAGTGAAGATATTACTACCCACTTAACAAAAGGGTTTCTACACATCCGAAATGAGATAAGAGCGATATTAAACGACCCATGATTTTTAAAAATATACTTAATCATATTTTTATGTTGTTTCTTTCTTTCTCACTCTTTTATCTCTTTACTTTCTTTCCCTTCATGAGAGATAAGTAGAACGTTAGGAGTTTGGGCAATGTATCAAAGAGGTAGAGATGTGGCAATAATGGAGATGAAAATTTTAGTTTCAATTTCATAGAAATTGGCAGCTTATATATGTAAAAGGCCTACTTAAATTTTTTTGTTTTAAGCCCCGAATCTCCATGAACCGGCACTGAAGCCTGGTCTAGCCCATTTGCAGTGACTAAACTTGACTGCTGCTTAGATGCCTCGCGACGGCAAACTTAGTCACCACTTAGGACTTTATGACAGCTAGATTCGTAGGAGGAGAGAAGAAAGAAGTGGGAGAAATGAATAGGAGGAGAAAAAAGATAAAAATAAAGGAAAAGAAAAGAAAAAAGATAGAACATGGGGAGGGACAAGAAAAAGAACAATAAAAGAGAGAAAATATTATATATTATTTTATTTTTATACTTAAAAAGGGTAAAAAGTCAATATTGCCTTCCTTAAGAAAATGGAAATGTCTATAATACTATACTTTAATTGATCAAATTAATGAGAAAAGAGTTAAGTTCCTACTTCCAAATCAACCCGCGCTCCCTACGATTTGGTGGAACTTTTCAGAATTACCCAGAAGATAAAATTTTTTGTCAAAACCTCCATTATTAATTAAAACATCCATATATATATATATAAACCGAAGAGAGAAGAAAGAAATCGAGAGGAACGTATATAAGAAAGGGAAAGAAAACAAGAAAGAAAGAGGGAGGAGGTCATTGAACTCAAAATCTCAACTGATACTATGCATAATCATCAAACCTCTTAAATACATGTGATCACAAACGAAACAAAGCTCTGAAATGAAATAGATAAAAAGATACAAGATGGTCCTATAAAAAATCCTTACAATCACAATATTTACACAAATATTTTCATGGATAAGACCGAAACAATCAGAAATAGAGAAACCAAGACTAGATAAGAGCATCACCAATGTGCTCTAACGGAAAGAGAAATACCAAACGAGGAAGTGCAATGGGTAACCCGCTTAAATCTCCTCAAGTTCAGTCCACAACATCAGACATTTTGGCCTGAAATCAGGAGTCTGATCAACGCACCTCATTGCCAGATCAAAGATTCCAATGAATTGCTTCATCATAACTTGTTAACTTTTATCCACCAACTCGGGAGTAACTTCTTTTTATGTACACAGCAGCC